ACGTAATGAGCATGAGCGTACTTTAAGTTGACATAGGTTGGCATAATCTTTATCGTCTGAACCACATACAGGGCTGGTKTCCTTGGAGCAGTCCTCGCTTTTCGGRCAAATGCACTTGGGAGAACTGTCTACCATCTTACATGTTGAGTAGTGCTGGCAGGTTTTGGTTTTGCAAGTTTCTAGGAAAGTAGTGGGATGAACGGCATTAAGAACARCAACAGCAATAATAACAAAATCAACAACAGCGACAACAACATCAACARCAACACCAACAGGAACAACAATAGCAYCATCAATGACAWGAATCATAGCAACATTTGGGAAGACAAAAGTAGGAAGTTTAAGGATATAGATGTGAGATTAGGGAAAGAAAGAAAGAAGAAAGAACAACAGGAATTATTAACACAGTGAAGAAAGAATCAGATAAGAACACATAAAGTGAAAGACACAAGACAAGAAAGTTACCAGGTTTTTTGCCTTCGTTTGAGGGCGAGATCCTTCTCCCCCCAAAAATGGAAAAGATCATGGGAACAAAAATCACTTACCACAGCGTCCTCTCTTTAGGACCGTTAGCGCCTTGTTAGTAGTACATGCATCAACCCTCAGATGGCATTCACTTTTATATGTCTTGATRTTACTTCCACATACATCTCCCGTTAAGAATGAACAGTCATTAAGAGTGGGGCAGACACACTTGGCAGTTTTATACCTTGTAGTAACACACTTTGCAAAGATGCGATAACACTGGGCGAACGCACAGGCGGCTGGGAAGGAAAAAGTGAAAAATCGATAACACATAAGTCATGACTCTGAAATGGTTACAAAGCAGTGGATGATATCAATAAGTATTGCAATTTACTTCAAGGCAATATTAACAAACAGTAACAACAATATCAGCAGCAACAACATAAACAACAACAGGAGCAACAATAACTGTATCTTAAAAAACAACAACAGCAACAACAACAACAGCAGCATCAAAACCAAATCTAACAACACCAGCATTAGCAGTTCAACAGCGATAGCGACAACAGAAACAGAAACAGGAACACTAACAGCAGGAACAGAAACAACAACAGCAAGATTAACAATAGCAGCAACATAAACAACTACCGATAGCAAAAAAAATGCCATTGGAGCAACACCTTACCACAGTAGCCATTGTACTTGACATACACTTGGTGCTTCTTTGGGCAATTCAGAGCGACCATATAACACTTGTTTCTATATGAGATGAGGTCACTACCACAGACTGGGTTGTTGTCACGTGGGCAATCTTTAAGCTGAGGGCACGAACAGATCACTTGACCAGAAGAATCATCACACYGACCATTGTATGGACAACGTGTGAGCGAGCAAGGATTCGAAATGACACCTTAAAAGAGGAATATATAGGTGGATWAACTAAAGGCTAAAGAATTYAATCATAAAGTACMGGATGGATGGATGAAAATCAAAKGTAGAGATTGGTACATGGTTGTTGGAATAATTCGCAAGATGCGTACCACATTGACCAGCATGCTTGACGCGAATCCTCCTGTTTTTGAGGCAGTTCATTACTTTAAGGTGGCACTGGCTTGCATAGGTCGTTCCATCACTTCCGCATACTTGAGATATTACTTTACATTCGGTGATGGCTGGACAAAGGCATTCTGGGATATTGTCTGGAGTGATGGTACATCGTTCGAACTCCCCACACTTTTTGTAGGAACATGGATCTGTGAATCAATCAATCAACCAATCAATAAATCAATCAACCAATCAGTCAATCAATTAATCTGTCAATCAATCAAAGTCAAGTTAACTACAAAAAAATCATTAATACATACCACAAGCTCCTTCTTTAAGCATATAAAGATCTTTCCCAGTAGAACAAGCTTCTAACCTCAGCATACATTTACTAAGATGAGTCTTTCTGTCATTACCACACAACGGTTTATCAGATTTGTCGTCACACTTTGGACATTTACAAATAGGTTTATTGTTTTCGACAAAGCAGTCTTGGTTGGGATGGCACTTGTGATCAGTGCAGGGACCTAGTCGTAGACAAAACAAAACAAATTAGTGTTGAATTCACATAAGAAGTAAATACAACTGTGAAATAGGTATATCGGCTGCAAAAAAGGGTTCTTTACTGGATTAGCCAGTGCAGTATATGTCGACGGCCACGAATGTATGAAAATGCTGCTGCTGCTGTTTACACTACTACTACTACTCTACTTGTTCGGGTTGATTTCTCAAACTAATTTGAATTTTTCTCTCCATTCCATCCAAATAGAATGTTAGATATATCTTTGTTCAAGTTTTCCACTTACTGCAAGGTCCTTTGTGAAGAACTCGAATTTCTTTCTGTGAGTTACAAGACTTGACTTTCATTTGGCATTCGTTATTGTAAGTTTGTAAGTCTGAGCCGCACACTGGTTGAGGTGTTGATTGACAGGTAGACGGACATATGCACCGTGTTCCTCCACGTTGACCGGCTTGGCATTTGCCATAGTACTTGCATGTTACAAGCCTGCAAGGGTCTAAAAGACAATTTTCACATATTCAGTTAAGTTTTTTCTGTTTTGAGGTGGATGAAGTGTCGGTGAAAATTTGGGAAACGTTTGACGATGTGAAAGTAAGGCAAATGACTTAAGAACACAAAGTACTGTAATTGCTTGGGATGTGGAACAAAGCACAGACAGACCTGACGGCCAAGGGTCACAACATCTTGTAGTATTTGTTTTTACAAGCAAACGAATTCGTAATGTTTATATAACAACTTTACTCGGTCAAAAGCACTCACCACATGCGCCATCTTTAGTCTTTGTGATGACCTTCTTGGTCCAACAAGAAATCACTCTCAAGAAACAAATGTTGATGTAACTCTTTCCATCACTACCACAAACTGGCCTAATGTCTGTTGGACAGTTCTTTCTTCTTGGACACACACACACTGGGGAACGGTTAGGCGACTCGTGACATGTGGCATACATTCTGCACTTATGAATAGCGCACCCTCCACCTTGAGATGAAAAAAAGATTTATCAACATCATTGTTTCATTCATTTGCTTGCCTAGATATTTGTTCGTCCAATCGTTTATTTATAATTGTTTCTGTCTCTTCACCCGTTATTTAAACATCCATCTACATATACTGTCATCTTTTTTCTATTCATTTGTTCTTCTATTCATAGATTCGATCATTCTTTCACTTATTAATCCACTGATTGATTCATTTTTTTTTCATTCAACAATCAATTCCCCTATATGCTCCATGAAGGAACCTTTACTTAACAATCCATTTGTTTAATACTCCATTCATTTAATCTCAAGTACTGACCACATTTTCCTTTACTGGCAACTTTGAGCCCAATGTTCTTTTGGCATGCGGCGACCTTCAGCAGACACTCATTAGCATACTCCTTTCCGTCTGACCCACATACTAGGTCAGGTTTCTTGTCACAGTAGCTTGGATCTGGACATACACAAGATGCTCTTCTATTGGACAACTTACAGATCTTGCTGTCCTTGCAATGAACACCATCACAACTTTCTATTGAAAAGAACAAGAGATAAACACACAGTTATATTTTATATCGACAAAACGGAATCAAGGAATTGAGCTCTGCAATTTAAGATAACACAGTTCCATCTGGTGGACGAAAAATTGGATTCTTATTCTCAATAGAGCAAAGCTGTTTTGCCCCTCGAATGAATATGTTTTGAAGTGAAGGAGTCAAAATATTGACTCCTTCATATAAGTACTGTTCCGAAATTTCTATATTGAGTCTTACCACAATTCCCATCTCTGATAGCTGTCAGTGTGGATGGTAGTCCTATTTGCTCTTGTCTACAAGCCTCAGCTATAAGTTTACACTTATTATCATACGTCCGACCATCACTACCACAGGCTTGAGGTCCGACTGATGAACACTCTGRCACTTTGGGACAGCGGCATTCATAGTCTCCGCCAGGCTTAGCAAAGCAGTGAGTATTCTTCGGGCAGCGAACCATATGACAAATATCTGGAATATGATTGGTCGATGATAAATTACTTCCATTCATTGATTCATCCCTTCAACATCCAKTGRTCRAGCMCTGTACTTACTGCAGTATCCTTGTCTGCTGACCATAATGCTCTGCTTTATCCTACAAGATCTTGCTCTCATGTTGCATTCATTCAGGTAGCTACGGCCATCACTGCCACAAACTATGTTTACAGTACGTGGACATGACTTTTTATCCGGACAGACACAACTGGTGCTGCCTGCCAATGTCGCGACACATCTTCCATAAAACTTACATTTAACTTTGGCACAGGATGCTGAGAAKTGAGAAAGATCAAAAATCAGTATCGGTAGTATAACCACCATCATAGCCTCCCCATTTTTAATAAACAATTATCTGTTTAAACATATGTTTTATACAAGTGTCCTTATTTCTCTATATGAATCCAGACTTACCACATTCACCATACCGTACAATATTGATGTCAACCTTCCTAGAACAGCTTTCCACTTCCATCAAACATTTACTCTTGTAAGTCTTGGTTACCTTTCCATCGTAACCGCAAACCGGTGAGGCCTTCTCTGGACAGTCAGCCTCTTCAGGGCAATGGCATTCCAGAGAATTTCCAGTTTGCACGCACTTAGCAGCATAGGAACATTGGCGTGCCGAACAGGGTTTGGTTACGACTCCTAGAGAATAATATATAGTTTAAGATGAATGGGTTGATTTCATTCATTTATCCATTTCCTATTCATCCAAAGATTATTATGCAGCTTTGTTAGTGGATATCTATGGAGAGGACTTGAGCGACCTTATATAAGTATTTTATCTGTCAGGATCATTTCCTTTATCCTTACCACAAATTCCTGGACTGATTGATAACTGGAATTGCTTGTCACATGATTCTTTCTTGGCGAAACATTCGTTCTGGTAAGTGACACCATTACTGCCACATACTGGTTTATACACTGGTGGACAGACACTACTGCAGACACATTGAACGGTCCCTCTACTKGTCACYTTACAGTTAGCATTGTAGAGACACTTCACCATGGCACAGGCATCTAAGAGCAAAATAAGATGAGCAAAATAACAAATGTATCATAATGTAATTCCTTCAGTATGACCCTGAGTGGTCATCGGATTTCACGTGGTAGTACTGTCACATTTAATACCATTTAGMATCTATATCGCCAAGTTTTGACTCTGCATTTACAAATTTCATGCAAACATCATTAATGCAAACTACAATATAGCTGTTGAGCCAAAACATGATCCARCCACAGAAAACCWAAAACGGCTGACGAGCTTTGGCAAGCAGCCAGGGATTTTACCATGGAAATGTTATACTCTTACCACATGGACCATCAGAACGCAATGCTATTGGAGTCTGCGTGGTACAGGCCTCGGCAGCAAGGTGACACTTGGTTYGATAACTCTTCCCATTAGCACCACAAACAGGCTTGCTGGACTGAGAGCAACTCTCAGCTGGAGTACATTGACACTTTGTGGAGYYTGAGCCAGGGGGGTCCTCAACACAAGTACCATTGATGGTACYACACGTGGCCAGTGAACAAGGTCCTAGAGGAAGTAATCAAAAGAGCATTTGATCAATAGATGACCACGTTGTCGATTAATRATGAGCAAATTTCAAKTACTCAATTTGTTTGTTTGTGTTGTAGGTGTGTATTGAGAAAGGTTCTAGAACATGTGATCAATTGCATTTTGAGATTAGTTTTTCATGTTGTAGGTGAATAATAATAATGATCATGAGAACGGTTTTAGAACAAGTAATCTTTTATATCAAGGAGATAAAAACCATAGGTTTCTAGTAACTTACGACAATTTCCTTC